AGAGAAATTAATGAATCTAAACTTGAATCACCTTTCATTGTCTCCAAATGTTTTTGCATATGATTTAATTTTGTTCGTTGAAAGCACTAAAGACCTAAACACACATGATTAAAACCAACTTTAATTCCTTCTATACTAGTTCCCTCCAAAAAAGAGTTAACATTGCAAAATCTAAAATATTCTTCTCTAAAAATGTGGATGGTGTTAGTTTAAGATCTCTGTGGGCTTGATACAGTTTTCCTCACACTGAATCTTGGGTGTATTTAGGGGTCATATTACTTCACTATAGGACCACCAAGCAAAAATATCATGGAATAATTGACCAAGCAAAAAACTTGTCTTGCTAGTTAATAGATTCGTTATTTTTTCGTGGTATCTATTGGCCAAATTTATCCTCTCAACTATTTTCTTGCAGTCTATACTAATACTTCCCCTCTCAGCCTCGATTTAATAACCAATTGAATAGCCTTACATTTGAATTCATATGGAGATCTAGGGTGGGGAATAAAAATTTCACTTAATTAAATGAGACAAAATTTGTCTATCATGAGAAATACGGGGCATGGGTTTATTGGATATGGATATGGATATCTATAGTAAGGCATTCATCATGAAACTAGGATGGAGATTACTCACTAGAAGAGATAGCTCATCAGTTAATGTCTTTTAAGCAAAATGCTTCTCTAATAGTCACTTTTAAAAATTGAAAAACCTTCTTAAGATAGGATCTTACACATTAGAAAGTTTATCCAAGCATATTTAGTTAGTTAAGCTTCTTAGCCTTTATTGTCCTTAATAAAAGATTTATTGTCATTCGAAAACCTTGTCCCTTAGAAATAAGAGCAATTCGTTGTGTTTCTCTCAATGTTTATTTGCTTTTCCATATCAGAAACTAAATTTTAAACATATTATTAGATCTCTGACAGATTGATGTGGTAACATATAAGCGACAGTGTGTTGACAATTAAATATGTCAATAACTTTCTCCATGCCACATGTCATTCTCAAAATGTTTGTCAACAGAAGACTATATGAGTCTTATAAAAGGTTGGGCATTTCATGTGGCTTTTAGCATCCGATGCCTTTTAACAAATGCATGACTCATTCTTTACCACTTAGGATGATAAGTGTTCTAAATGTCACCAGCAAGGACATTCTTTGTGCAATTGAGGATTACCATACTACTAAACATATATGGCAAGACTTAATTGATTACTATCTCGTTAATTATTTCTTTTCACAAGTAAAGTAGGTAAAACATGCATACCAAAATTATTCATTTCAAATCTATGGAAAAACCCAGAAAACAACATCTTAAAGTGCATTAATGAGCCTTCAAAACTCATATTTACTCCTATGTTACCTGATAATATTTTATTTTTACCTTATATTTTATTACAAGAATTTTTGTTATATTGCTTCTTGATTTTGTTTCATAAAGAATTATTTATTTATTTTACTTGCACATGTCCAACTTAATTAAGCAATACCTTTTTTTTTTAAAAAAATACAAAAATAAGTAAAATATCCACATTAATTACCTTAAAATTAGAGATATTAAATTATCATTAAAACAAATTAGAATACGAAAAGTTATAATTTTAAGCATTTAATAAAATATAAAATTATGACAGTTTATTAAAATTCCAAATTATTTTAAATTCTATAGTAAAATATAATATTATCTAAAATTACATTACCTAAATCTTGTCCCAATAAACTTAGAAAGTAAATAAGAACAAGGACGAAATTGTCATAGTCTGATAAATCCAATTTACATGAATGGAAACAAAGGTCACAAAAATAAGCACTTTCTTTTTAAATAAAAAGGCAATTATGAGAGTAAATCAAAGTCTAAAATGGCTTGTTTAGTTGAAATTATCCAGAAAAAAAAATCAAAAATTTCCTTGATCATTGAAATATTATTATTATTATTCAAAAACTGATTCTTGGGTCATATCAAAATTGTACCTTTCATCAATTCAAAAAATAAAAGATACCAGAATCCAAATTTTATATTTAATTTTGAGAAAAAGAGTATGATTTAATTAGCTGCCTTCTCTTTCAGACATTTGAGACTCTGAAAGTAGGAAGAAAATTAAAAGGCAAATCTGTATAGACGGTGGGCAGTTGAAGCAGCCTTCAATGCTTTTTCCTCTGTTCACAACCTATTTGATCAGCCACTTTTTTCAACGATATCTCCAAATGATTTACGTATACTTTATATATATATATATGTGTGTGTGTGTGTGTGTGTGTATTTATTCATAGAGACGATATAGCCAACACAATAATTATCACAATAAAGTAGCAATAAATACTTCGGATTTTATCTGGGAAAAAAAAAACTCTCCTTTCTCTCTTTTTATCTCCCTCTTTTCTTGGGATCTTCTGAACATTTATATATCGTCCATGCTCTATCTTGTTCTTCCCGCTCAGATTATTTTTTGAAGGAAGATCGATCGCTGTCAACCCTTTTTGTCTCCTCTGTAAATTTTTTGTTTTCTCTGTTCTATTTTGTGGTACAAGCGATAGGGAACATCAATCATCCATGGCTGAGATCTCAATGAACTCTGCAAACAACAACAGGGTTGTGTTGAATGTCAACGATGGCGATGTGGGTCACAACTCTCTTCCGGCTTCGACCTCTGAATCTCTTGAGAAACGAGATTCAGCTCTCAGTTTCTCTGTACCTTTCATTCAAAAGGTGATTTGATTGATTCTCCTTTGTGTTCTTCCATTTTTGTTCCCTATCTGTTTGATTAATGTCCTTCTCTCAAAAACCATTTTACTTGGTAGAAATATCATGTATGGTCATATATAAAATCATAGAAGATTCTGTTAAGAAAAGAAAATTTTGCTTATTTGTTGTTGGTTTTGCAGTTAATGGCTGAATTTTTTGGGACATTCTTCTTGATTTTTGCGGGGTGTGCTTCAGTGGCTGTAAATGATGAATATGAGAAAGTAGTGACACTTCCAGGAATATCAATTGTATGGGGATTAGCTGTAATGGTGTTGGTTTACTCTGTAGGTCATATCTCTGGTGCTCATTTTAATCCAGCAGTCACCATTGCTTTTGCCTCTTGCAGGAGATTTCCACTCAAGCAGGTTTAAAACTACACAGTAATTTCAGTCACCATTTTTTTTCTTCAAGTAGTTTAGCTACACTGACCTACTCTGATTTTGTAAGAAACCATGGCTTTGTTTCCTAAATGAAATCTTAATGTTTTCTTCTGTTTTTTTTGTTTTAAAAATTTATATGTATTTTGTTCAGAAAATGATGCAATAGTCAACCATGAATAGATAGAAGTAGAAAGTTTTAGAATTACTGGTTTTAGTGTTTCCTATAAATTTTTGCTTTGGTTATTTTACAATCATAAATGTGTTATTTACATACTCCTGCGAATGAAAACATGAATAAACAGATATGAATTCAGATAAAAAACTAGGAAATATTTATATAAAATCAGTATTGTAATTTTTCATATATTAAATGGAAAGTTCTTTTTTTTTTCTTCAACTAATCATCTTTCCTGTAGTACTTTTCAAGTTTGACTTTGTTAAAACATTATTAACCAACAACTGTATATTAAGCTGACATAAGTGGTAATTCTTCTGAGGATCAGTTTTAATCTTGACCAGTTTTCTTTCTTTTCAAGCAACTTCTTGACTGACAATGTTTCTACAAAATTGAGCTTAAATATTTTTCTTATTGCATTTTCCAATGCTTATCTCTCCTTAGGTACCGGCTTATATACTGGTTCAACTGCTAGGATCAACACTAGCAGCTGGAACTCTTCGATTGCTTTTTAACGGGCAGCATCAAGTTTTTACGGGAACTGCTCCATCCGGTTCTGACATGCAGTCTTTTGGGATTGAATTCATAATCACCTTCTACCTCATGTTCATTATATCTGGTGTTGCCACAGATAACAGAGCTGTTAGTTTAATTTCTTCGCCTCATCACTCAATTCAGTTATAGATAAGATATTCTGATATATGGTTAGTCAATGTGGTGGGTGGTGGAGGTGGACTGACTTGCCAATTCATTTTCCTTTCCCACCTCCGGAAGTATACTATATGAATTTACTACTAATATTTCACTGACTTAGAATTATAATTCAAAAAATAGTGAATGTACTATCAAATATTCCATTGACTGGAAATTGTAATTCAAACAATTGATCATAAGATAGTGACTTGATGAGTTTTTGAGATTATTTGAGTCACTAATGAAAATGATGGAAATCTCATGAATCATACAACCTCCTTTTGTGCAGATTGGAGAACTTGCAGGGCTGGCCGTTGGCGCAACAGTGCTACTCAATGTGATGTTTGCAGGGTGATTATTCAATTTCTTTTTGAGATTTGCATATATATTCAAAATTCTAAGTCATGGTTATGAAATGTTCAAGTCTATATCATTTATGAGAAATTGAGTGATACATTTGATTACTTTATTGATAATGCTGGTATTGACCAAAGCCAGGTCCAAAGTGACCCAATTATGTGTAATAATATGAGCAAATGCTTGAGAGGAAGAATCTGGAAGTCAAAGAAAGCAGACTACTAGGTGTAATTCTCCAAACCAATTTGTATACTGATGAGCTTGACATCCTACTTTTTAGGCCAATTTCCGGAGCATCAATGAATCCGGCAAGAAGCCTGGGGCCTGCAATTGTGTTCAGTCGATACAAAGGGATATGGATATACATTTTTTCGCCAGTTCTTGGAGCAATATCTGGCGCATGGGTTTACAATATGGTGAGATATACAGATAAACCACTGCGTGAGATTACCAAGAGTAGTTCTTTTCTCAAGAGTGCACGTAGCTGTTCCACTTGACGCTCGTGTTAGCTTCAAGCAGCTGTTTCGATTGTTTCATGTTAATAATTAATACGCACTACGAAGCTTACAACGGAGACAACAACGGGGAATATTTTTTCTATTTCTTATTTCCCTACTTTTTACTATCGGTAGGTATTGGATCAAGAATCAAAAGGACATTAATTGTTCATCATTTGTTTAGTAGCTTAAAAATTTGGAATTGGCTAGAATGATGTGCTGCAATTATTAAAAAGTCTTGTAGCTACTAGAATTTGGGAAAATTTTTGTAATCTAAACAATATACATTATAGTCTTATATAATTTGTACTTCATTTGTATAATAATTATTTTTATTTTTTAGATTGAATATGCAACGCAACAAAAAGAGAATTTGCTGCAGATTAATTCACAACAGTTTCTATTAACTACCACAAATGGAAAATTGTAGTGCTTCTTGGCAACAGTTCGTAACACTGACATGGGTAAAAGTACAATTTCCACAGTGAAGACAAAGAAAACAAGAGGAGAAACCAAAGCCCTGATTTCATTTTCACCCTAATATCACACTTAGTCGTGCATCTGCTTTGACATCATCGAACTTCTGTGTCATTCACAAGCCACCACAATTCCTTTCTTAGCAGCTGCATCTCGTTGCGATCGTCTGCCATGCCTCCCACAACTGTTTTTAATCATCTCTCGCGCTTTGCCTCTACAAGCTCCTTCATCTACCTTGTTCCCTTGATTGTTGTCATTATTAATAGAAGCTGCTTCCTTTCATCTCATCACCTGCTTCATTGTCGTCAGTACCTTTACCTGCGACTCCTTCAAATAAAGATATATTATCTTTTGACAACTCTTCTTCAAATAGAAGTACGACGTTTTCTTCTAGTTCTACTTTTCCTTTTCTTTTC